GGTATATTCCCAGCAGTGAAATCACTGGGTCAAAGGCAGGCCCATTTTTAATTTTTTGAGGAAGTTCCATGCTGTTTTCCATAGTAGCTACACCAGTCTGCATTCTCATTAACAGTGCACTAGGGTTCCCTTTTCTCTACATCTTTGCCAGCACTTGTTTTTTATTGATTTATTAACGATAGCCATTTGGGCAGGTGTGAGGTGATATTTTATTGTGGTTTTAATTTGCATCTCTCCGATGCTAAGTGATGTTGAGCATTTTTTCATATGTCTGTTGACCATCTGTATTTCCTCTTTGGAGAAGTGTCTTCAGGTCCTTTTTCCATTTTTTTAAAATTAAATAGTTTGTCTTCCTGGTGTTGAGTCGTATGAGTTCTTTATATATTTTGGAGATTAAACTCTTATCCAGTGTATCATTGGCAAATATGTTGTCCCGTATAGTGGGTTCCCGTTTCATTCTGTTGATTTTCTTTTAGCTGTGCGGAAGCTTTTTATTTTGATGTAGTCCCAGTTGTTTATTTTTTCCTTTATTTCTCTTGGCCTAGAAGATATATCAGCAAAAATATTGGTACATGAGATATCTGAAATTTTACTGCCTGTTTTGCATTAGGATTTTTATGGTGTCATGACTTATATTTGTTTTTTATCCATTTTGAGTTTATTTTAGTGTATGGTGTAAGTTGATGGTTTAGATTCTTTTTTTTTTTTTTTTGCATGTACCAATTCAGTTCTCCCAACACCATTTATTGAAGAGACTATCTTTACTCCATTGTATGCACGTGCCTCTTTGTCAAATATTAATTGACCATAAAGACATGGGTTTATTTCTGAGCTCTCTATTCTGTTCCATTGATCTACGTGTCTGTTCTTATGCCAGTACCAGACTTTTTTGATTACAGTGGCCTTGTGGTATAGTTTGATATTATGTATTTTTATTCCCTCCAACTTGGTTCATCTTTCTCAAGACTGCTGAGGTTATTTGGGGTCTTTTTTGGTTCCACATAAAGTTTTGGAGTATTTGTTCTAAATATATATATATATTTCATATATATGTATATTTCATATATCTGTGAAATATGCCATTGGTATTATAATAGGAATTGAGTTGAATCTATAGCTTGCTTTGGTTAGCATGGACATTTTAATGATGTTAATTCCTCCAATCCATGAACAGGGTATATGCTTCCATTTATTTGTATCTTCCTCAATTTTTTTCTTTAGTGTTCTATAGTTTTCAAGTACAGTTCTTTTACATCCTTGGTTAAATTTATTCCTAGGTACTTTATTTATTTATTTTTTTGTGGCAATAGTAAATGAGATTGTTTTCTTAGTCTCTCTTCCTGATAGTTCATTGTTGGTGTACAAAAATGCCATCGATTTCTGAGTATTGTATCCTGCTACTTTGCCAAATTCACTTAATAGGTTGAGTAGTTTTTGCGGAGGAGCCTATAGAGGTTTTTTTTTATGTACACTATCATGTCATCTGTGAATTATACAGTTTTACTTGCTCTTTTCCAATTTGGATGCCTTTTATTTCTTCTTCTTGTTTGATTGCTGCATCTAGGACTTACAGGGCTTCCTTTCTTTTCCTTCTGGTATCCCCATGATGTGAATATTGTCACGTTTCATGTTGTCCCAAAGCTCCTTAAACTATCTTTGTTCTTTTTAAGTTATGTTTTGTTTTGTGGCTCTGACTGGGTGTTTTTTCCTACCTTGTCTTCCAAGTTGCTGATTCGATCCTTTGCTTTATCCAGCCTGGTTTTAATTCCTTCTAGGGTAGTCCTCATTTCAGATATTGTATTCTTCATTTCCACCTGGTTCTTATTCATAGTTTCTATGTTCTTTTTCATGCGGATTTAGTTCCCACTAAGTTTCTTGTGGTTCCCATGAAGTTCCTTGTAGTTCTCACTAAGTTTCTTTGGCACTGCTTGTAACCATTACTCTGAACTCTAAGTCTGGTAAATTGCTTGCATCAATTTCATTTAGCTATTTTTCTAGGGATTCCTCCTTTCTTTCAGGTTGGGAGTTGTTTCTTTGTCTCCTTATTTTAGCTGATTCTCTTTGTTTGTTTCTGCATATGAGATTGATCTGCTTTGACTCCCTTTCTTCATGGGGTGGCCTTATGTGGTAGGAGTCCTGTGGCACTCAGTGGTGCCGTCTTCTTGATCTCCTGAGCTGGATAGTCCTTTACGCAGTTTATATGGGCTCTCCTGTTGTATTTGGATTTTGACTGTTGTTGGCCCATTCATCGGTAGGTTCTGCACTCTGTCTGGCTTACTGAGAGTCTCAACCCCCGTCACATCTTGTATGCTGTTGTACATGTGCTGATAGAACAAAACAAAACAGCACAGTAAACAAAACCCACACAAGCAAAAATACTGCCAATCTAACTCCCAGTTCACAGCCTTTACAGAGTCCAGAACTCTCTGTTCTGCAGAACCCCCAGCTTCTTTGCAAGCCAAGCTTGGTGAGGCCAGCAAACCCCTCTTTGCACAGATTTCTCCCTGTCTTGCTGGGTTCAGTGGGAAAGGATCTGGAGATCTAGTGTGACTTGGAGCAGCTGAGAAAAGTTCAGAATGGTCAAAAAAACCCATTTTCCCATTTCATTAGGTTTCTCTTGTAGCCTGAACTTGTATAGTGATCTCTTCAGCTTGGTGCCCAAACCATAGGAGCATTTCATGCTGAATTGCAATCTCTGATTTTCGCAGGTGTGGGTGGAACCTCATTACATCCTTCTGTTAGAACCCACAGCCACCACTTCCCTCTCTATTGCTGCAAGTATCCTTAGAGCCCTGCAGTTCCAAGAGGAGGGAGCTCCACTGCTGTGATTTCAATCTGGTCTGTACTGGCAGGGCAGCTGCACTGGGGTCCTTGCCTGGCCACTTTACATTTCCTTTTAAAAAGTCTCTATGCTGTACCTGCACTGCAGTACTGAGTCAATGTCTGAATCTCTGCACATACAACCTCCCCAAGGGGTGCAATGTCTCTCCAAGTCATGGCTCGCTGCAGACTGCAGGTACCTCTGACATACCCAGGTGTGGCAACCTGGTTGCTTTAGTGGTCTGTGCCCCTATCTGGAGCTCTCCAGGTTAGCACCTCGGCTATGGGAGTGCTAGGTGGCGTGTGTGTGTGTGTGTGTGTGTGTGTGTGTGTGTGTGTGTGTGTATGTGAGAGTGAGAGAGAGAGAGAGAAAGAGAGAGAGAGAGTAACCTGGGTCTTGCAGTCTCGCAGACTCCGTGGATACCCCCCAGGTTACCTCTGATTAGGGTTGGTGATCCCTACATGGAGCTAAGGCCCTTGTTCCAAGAGGGGAGGGAGCTTTAGAGCTGTGATTTCTGTCTGGACTCTTAGCTGCAGCAGGAGCCATGCACTGGGTATTTTCCCTTCCACTTATAAAATCCCATTACCTGATGGTATGAAGCATCTTCTGTATTCCTTGGCTTAAAAACTTCATATTTGCTAAGATTCTGCTGATTGTTCAGGTTGGTTGTTGGAAGATCAGCTGAAAATCTGGGCTGGGGACAGAAACAAGCAGACTCAGCTTCCACCTACTCAGCCACCATCTTTGCATCCCATATTACAACAAATTTCTGATGAAGATGACAGTACAGTGTTCACCAAAATTAAATATTAATGCAAATTTAGAGTTTTAAGTGGAAAGCCTCAGCTATTTGAATATGACATTAGGATAGCTTTTTATTAAGTGAAAAAGCCAAACCTACAGTTTTAAAATAGTTTCATAATGCCTGGCTTCCTTGGTTAGACCGTTTACATAATTTGTTTCAATGTACCTGGGAATCTAGTATCTTTACCTGCTGCCTCAATGAGCTGTCTTTATGCACAAACCTTTTGTATCCCAAGTAGAGAAACAATAAAAGCAGCTACTTTTTATTGAGATCCTACTATGTGAGATCCAAGTGTGTGTCACGGCTAAGAGGTGGAGTTGATATTTAAGCTACTTCTGTCTAGCTTCAACTTCTGGGGACTGGGACTGTGTTCTGGGCTTCCTCAACCTGTGTGGGTGCTTTGGAGGGCATCTTTATTCTTTCGGGGGCTAGGTGAGAGGGGGAATAAGTGGTCATAATTTTAACAAACTTGTTAATACTGCTTCTGAAATACAGAAGTCCTCTATAATGTCCCTTTCTCAAGAGGTATTCTTTATTAAGTACTTTACTCTATTTTAAATTGTAATTTTGTAGATGTTTGGTGAACTGCTATTATGTGGTACACCCTAGGATTAGAGTTTTGGGGAGCATTTCAAACCCGATTTAATAACAAACAGCATTGTAGCTAATATTGGGATTTTCAAAAGACTTGTTAATTTAAACTCTACCACTAAACAAGATTATAAGGTAAATCCTTACCTTATTTTAGAGGGAGAATATTATTTCCAGTTTCCTAGGAAACATTCATTTAATTATAAACAGTATGCTAATTATAATTACAAATTATTTTATGTATTAAAACAGTTTGAACTTTGATTTCCATTATGCTATATATTCTCTCAAACCTAGTAAAATATTTGTATAAGCATTCTATGATTCAGAGAGATTTTCTAGGCCAAATAAGTGTGGCTTGTTGCTATCTATTATAAAATATCCCAAATACATTAAAAAGCATGAAATATAACATACTATCCATGTAACTAATGTCCTATTCAAAACGTAAAATGCTACCAACATAATCAAAGTGCATGTGATCTCTCTCTAATTGTATAATCTCTCCTTTGCCTCAGGGATAGCAACAAATTATCTGCTTTTAAACATGATAAAAGCTGTGTTTTTGAACCTTGTGTAAATGGTAGTATACTCTGATTCTTTGACTAGTATTTTTTCATTCACCATATTTTTAAGATCACCTATGTTGCTGTATATAGTCCTAGTCCATTCATTTTTACTGCTTTTACTATCCATAATTCACTTATGTGTTCTCCTCTTGGTGGACATTTGTTTCCAGTTTTTGCAATTAACAAATAATGTTACTATGAATATCTTTTACAGTTCTCCTGGTGCATGTAGGTGAGAGATTCTGTGGGGTAACTACCTATGAATGAAATTGCAAGACCAAAAAGGTATGTATATCTTCAGCTTTACTAAGTATTGCTTCCTAAAGTTGTACCCATTTGGATGCCCTTCACTACTTAAATTCTTATTGTTCTGTACCCTGGCCAAAACTAGGTATTGTCAGACACTTGTCAGTTTGATGAGTGACATATCTCATTGTTATTTTGAATTCCTCTGATTACTAGTAAGATTGGACATCTTATGTTTATTAGTATTATAGGTATTTTTTTCTTAGCACTTGTATATTATGGCTGAAAATTGTATGTAAAGTTGAAAGTGACATGAAGCAGTTACTACTAGATAGAAATATACTATAATTATAACCTTAAAGCACTGGCAACTTCGCAGGGTTTTTTTTTTGTTTGTTTTTTTTGTTTGTTTTTTGTGTTTTTTTTTTGGAGGAAATAATTCAGGGTGATTTTCTGGCAATATATTAGAGAGAACAGGGACTTCAGAACTGAACTGATAGGAATCAAGATGGCGGAGGAGTGAGTAGAAGTCACACTGACCTCCTCCCAGGACCAACCTGGAATTACAACTAAATTGTGGAGAAATCACCTGGAACAAACAACTGAACAATAGTGAGAGAGGAGCCTAGTAACTTCGGAGACAGAAGAATTGGCTTTAGTGCAATCTACCCAGGAAGGAGTGCGGTAGAGACTCGAGAAGGCAGGTGGGGTGCTCACGGGCAGCAGCACCAGAAGGACACTGAAACGGCCAGTTGGATCCCCCTGAGAAGAGCGAGGTCTAAACCAAAAGCCGGGATCTCTAGCCCACAGCACCACAGCCCAAAAAGTACACAGAAAACAGCCAGCTGCGAAAAGCGGCAGGGCTGCTCTCTGCCAGAGACAGGTGACTGGAGACACAAAGAACTGTTTAAAGGACCAACGCATAAATTGTTATCTGCAGCCATTTACCCTGGTCTCCAACAAATGCGGGGACAGTGTGGGCTTGAGATGCCTGAGGAGAGACTGGGGAAAGAGACTTTGAGGAGAGAATGGAGAGAGTAGCTGGTGGGATCTCAGCTGGTGCTGACTCCTCCCCCATATGGCTGCAGCAAGGGAGGACCCAAAAACCCCGCCCCCAGAAGGGACTCTGCCCAGCCCTGAGCTGTTTAAAGCACCCCGCTCAGTGCAGAGTGAATAGATTAACAGCTGAAGGAGAAAGCCACAAACAGTAGATTACTGGAAATCTTGAACAGACTGCCTAAGGTCAGACAGGGAGGACATCTGACATCATCAGAGGCAGATCCAGAAAGTAAAAACAGTGGTCTCCAACCATAGAAGTTCACACCACAAAGTCAGGAAATCAAGACAGATAAACTTAAGAATCAGAAGCAAAAGAGAAGAATCTCACAAATAATGGGAAGACAAAGAAATATGCCCCACTCAAAGGGAAAGGAGGAATCCCCAGAAAGAGAACTAAATGAAATAGGGGCAAGTAAACTATCAGATACTGAGTTCCAAACAACGGCTCTAAGGAAGCTCAATGAGCTCAGTCAGCTCAGAGAGAATTACCAGAAACTACAGGGAAACTACGAGGAACTTACTGCAAACTATATCAGCATGAGAAAGGACATCGAAACTATCAGTAAGAGACAAGAGGAAATGAAGAATACAATTTCAGAATTGAAGAACACAGTAGAAGGAAACAAAGGCAGGCTCGATGAAGCGGAGGACCGAATCAGCAAGCTGGAGGACAAGGTAGGAAAAAAGCTCCCAGAAAGAGTAAGAAAATCAAAAAAGACTCAAAAAGAATGAAGAGGCGTTTAGGGAAACGCAGGACAACCTGAAATGTAATATATCTGTAAGAAGAGGATGAGGAAGGGATAGAGAACCTGTTTTCAAAAGTCATGATGGAAAACTTCCCTAATTGGAGGAGAGAAAAAGTCATACAAGTCCAGGAAGCACAGAGGGTCGCATTCAAGAGGAACCCAATGAGGCCCACTCCAAGACACATCATCATTAAAATGGCAAATAACAAAGACAAACAGAGAATCCTAAAGCAAGCACGGGAGAAAGAGGTAGTAACATATAAGGGAGCCCCGATGTGGCTAGCATCTGACTTCTCAACAGAAACACTGCAAGCCAGAAAGGAATGGCAAGAAATATTCCAAGTCATGAAAAGCAAAGGCCTGCAACTAAGACTGCTCTACCCAGCAAGGCTTTCAATTAAAATGGAAGGTGAAATAAGGAGATCCCCAGACAAAAGAAGGCTAAAAGAATACACCTCCACCAAACCAGCACTGCAAAATATGCTAAAGGGACTGCTTTAAGATGAAGAAAAAGTTTCTATGAATACCCAGTTCCTTCCAGAGTTGCCAGTACTTGATATTACCAATATTTTTAATACTCATTACTCTGATTGTGACAATGATGTTATATTAATTGTTCCTTTACTATTCGTTGAAACTAAACCTGTTTTAGTATATTTCTTGCCTACTTCTATTATTTTTTAAAAAAAAGTTTTAAATGATTTTTTTAAAAAAGAAAAAGTTTAAATTGGTATTCTTTACCAATTTATTGATTAGAGGTTTGTAGAACATTTTTCCCTGCAAGAAACAAAAACAACCTATTAACCATGTGTTAGATGTCTTGCAAATACTTTTCTATTCTGTTCCTTGTCTTTTAACTGTTTTTATATGTATATTACTATATAGTTAAATGTTTAATATAGTCATATTGTCAATATTTACTCTATAGCTTCTGGGTTTGAATATTTTACTTCAGGTCATGAAAAATAATAGTTCTATTTTCGCCTAAAACTTCTTAGATTCTACATATTGATTTTTAACTCACCTGAATATTTCTTGTATAATGTGTGAAATAGGGTTCTATATTTGTTTTATATCAATAGTGGTCCATGCACTTTATTTGTGGAATAAGCCTTATTTTACCCATTAATTTGAAATATCAACTTAATCATATATTATATTGATAGATATATACATTTGTCTCTATAATGTTCATTATATTTCATTGATCTGTTTGATTATTTCTGTGCCGGTGTCATGTTGGTTTAATTGCTGAGACTTTATAATGGTTTTAAGTTTTTAAAAATATTTTATAATTAACTTTGACATTTAAAAAAATAAATAAAATCAAGCTGCATTTAAGAAAGAAAAAAAGAGAGAGAGATGGAACTCCTACCTTTTGCAACAACATGGATGGAAGTGGAGAATATTAAGCTAAGTGAAATAAGCCAGCTGATGAAAGACAAATACCATATGATCTCACCTATAAATGGACTCTATTCAACAAAATAAACTAATGAACAAAATAAACCACAGGCACGGAGACATGGAGCAGACTGAAAGTGACCAGAGGGGATGGGGAAAGAGGACTATGGTGAAAAGAAGGAGAAGGGACTAGACAAAGAATATGTATGAATGACTCATGGACATGGACAACAGAGTGGGAATTCACTGTGAGAGTGGTGGGTGGGGGTGGGATGGGTGGAGGGGGATAAAAGGGTAAAACTGAGACAACTGTAATGGAATAAACATGATTTATAAATTTTAAAAAAATAAAATATAAAAAGAAAAAAAATTCTCGAGTCCTGTTTTTTTTGTTTGTTTGTTTATCAGCTTTATGACTTTGGGAAATTTGTACCTGTCTGAGTCTGTTTCCTCATCCTTAAAATGAGTACAATAATTTATGGTTTGGTGATAGAATCAAATGAGATGAATATTAACACCTGGCACATAGCCCTAGTACATAGTTTTAGGATGAAATAAACATACATTAAACAATTGTATAAAAGATTGTTAACGATATGTCATATAATTAAATCAACCCTGAAATCTGGCAATTTGTGAGATTAAATGTGATCTGTTGATAACTGACTCTGATAGAAACATACTTCATCTCAGGACCAAGTGTGGAGACCACTCACACAGCAAATCCAAAGCAGCTGTGTATATGCCACGTCTCTTTCTTTGGCAACCCCCGCTGGCCCCCATACATGAACTTCTCCCCACACATGTCACTAGTGTTCATCTTCTGTGCCCTATCCGCTTTCTGCCAAACAGAATATCAGTGACTGACAAAACTGTCCACGTCACAGGTAGGAGTAACCTGGGGACTCTTTTGGGTGTCCCAGAATCTGGTTTGGGTTTGAGGACTCTGCCAGACATTATGAGAAAGATGGGCTTGGTGTCAGAAAGCTGAAATGCAGCCCCAAACTGTGAGTTGGTGTTATTTAGACTATTCTCATGTTCCTTGGCACAGGAATTTCTTCACATGGCTTCCAGAGAAGTGACCATCACAGTTCGCCTCATTCGTTCATTTGAGCATCGAAATTTCAAACCTGTGGTATATCATGGAGTTAATTTGGATCAAACTGTAAAGGAATTTATAGTATTTCTAAAGCAAGGTATGAAACATCTTGGTCATTTTGTTTTGTTAGTGTTTTGTTAGTATTACACTGATAGTAGCCTTTTAAAAAATACTTTAAAGGGCATTAGTTTAGGTTGTAGGCCAGGTGCTGCCTCAGCTGGCTCCTGTTCTGGCCTTTGAACAGGAGCAGAGGCGTCACCTCAGGGCTCCTTCAGCCATGTGCGCCCTCATCAGGGCTTATTACCGCCAGAGTTGGCTTTTTTCCTTCTCTTGTTTTAAATTTAAAAAACAAACAAACATTAAGGTCTAGGTTTGCTTGTAACAGGCTTGTACACTTGGAGGTTGATTAATAAGGGGGAGTAGCAGAGCTAATCGGGTTACCTGGCTGAGCACACAGAATGTGTCCTGGGGAGCGTGGCAGGAAGGTGCCAGTCCTGTTTCCACCGCCAGGAAATTGTGAGAGCTGTTGGTCACTGTGGCCACAGAAATGATGGCTGGGCTGATTGGTGCCAGTTTACTGTTGCAAGCTCCAAAACAGTAAACACGAAGTTAGTCTTCATTTGGATCAGTTCTTGATGGGTTTCTAACTAATGTTTTTAATTGTTGAAGTGTTCCAATCATCAACATTTGATAAAACATCTAGAATAAGCTTTCATTATTTTAATTCAAGTGTTATACATGTACAGATCTTAGTGTATTGTTTCATGAGTTTTGACAAATGTATCACTTTATGCCCAACGTAGCTTTTTTTTCTTTTTCTACTTTGGCATAGTTTCAGACACAGAAATGTTGTAAAAAGAGGACAGAGAATTCCTAGATGCCCATCACACAGATTTCCAAATGTCAACACTTGGTTACATTTGTTTTCTTCCCCCTTTTCATCTCTTACTCTCTGTAAGGCTGCCCCAACATTTGCTCATTCTGAACCACTTACAAGCATGTTGCTGGCACAGTCTCCTTTACCTCTAAGTATATCAGTGTGTATTTCCTGAAAACAAGGACTTCTCTTGCATAATTACAGTACAGTGATGAAAACCAGGAACGTAACATTGAAAAAATGCTATTATATAATTTACAGATCTTAATGAGAATTTAATTGTCCCAGTAAAGTCTTTCTAAGGTCATGTTGCATTCAATCTCTTTAACCTGAAACTAATTTCTTCAATGTGGAGTCTTATATTGTATTTCATTACATTGGCAGTTTTGAATAGTACAAGGCAATTATTCTATAGATTTAGATTGTGCCTTTTTGCAGAAACATCATGGGAGTGATGCTGACTTCACCAGGAGGCCCTGCTGTCCACTAGCCTCGTTAGTGGCTAGTGGAGTGTCTGCCAGGTTTCCCCTCTGTAAATTTTAATTATAATTGAAAAGTAAGTTGTAGGGATGTCTTCTGAGATTATATATGTGAATATCCTGATATTTTTCAAAATTGCATACTCTAGTTTAGGATTCTTTGATGATTCTTGCCTGAATCAATTATTATTATGATACGTAGTAAATAGTGATTTTCCTTAAACCATCATTCCTCTTTTGCGTTGCGACCTTTTAAGGGCTGACAGGTTCATGAGATTCGTGTGTATGGAAGGATATTCACGGAGCCTTTAGGATGCTTGACGTGCCTTTATTCAGGGGTGGGCAAGCCACATACTTTGCAAGCTGTGTGTCCCCCTGCATGTCTCTGCATGTGACTTGTCCTCCAATGTGGCCCCCAGCATGGCCCTTACATTCCCCCAGCAGGAAGCCCCTACCCCTTAATATACTGGAAACAGACGAAGCCGGCAAGGAGCCAAGATTATTGTATAATACAGTGAGATTCTGCACATGCGAGCCCACTCGAGGCTATGAGAACAGTTTATTGGACCGGTCTCAAGGCTATGAGAACACTACTTTACCAGGCCCATTCTCAAGGTTATGGGAAACTGCTTCCCTTAGTTAACCAGACACCTGAGTGAGGAAGCCAGACTGCCTCCATTTACCCTACAATCCACCCCTTATGGGTTCCTCACTGTACAATCTGTGTGAGGATATCTTCTGCAAAGGTCCCTTGGTGAGGAAGGCAGAGCCCTGCACCAATAAACCACAACAGCAGTACAGACTATAGCAGCACACAGCCAAAACACAGGCAATAAGGCCACCCTTAGGTCCATGGGCTGGTCCAGTTTCCAGGCAGATAAGGCCACCCATGGGAACCACATGCCTAGAGGGCTCTAGTGGGGACAGTAGCCCATGCACCATTCTGTGCCTCCCAGCAATGTCCAAGAATGTGTGTCTGACACAGGAGTTCAGTCCACTTGGGCTTGTCCTTGAGGCTTTTAATGCAGAGTGGGGGCTGGCCCAGCCAACCCCACAGTCCCAGCTCTGAGCCAAACCTGAGCCACCCAACACGGAGCAGCCAACAAACAGCCGGGGCCGGTCACACTGCTGCTTCATCCCAGTACAGATGCCAGTTCAGGTTGTATCCCACAAGGAATGTGCGTTTTTCTATCTATAGACAGAAGCTGGAGAGATGCACCATGGGAAGCCAGAAGCCATGCTTAGGGTGATTTCAGTGCAGACCCAGCATGCTGACTGGTTAGCCTCTGGGGCACAGGCACGTACCCAGTCCACTACACCCTAGGGGCTGGAAAGACAGAACGGTTATAGGCACCAGTAAGGGCAAGTCACTTCCCTCAGGCAATATACAGTCACATTTCTGGTCCATTGACAAAATGGTGGCTGGCGGAGAAGGTCTTCCTGGGTATGTATACCACACCTTTTGTGCCTTAGCTGGAGATTCAGCATATATGTGCAACAACAGTGGAGAACTCATAGTGGGTCATAGGGAAATCACAAAGGTGCCATGAAGAAGCATTTCGCGGTCTGCTTGCCCTGGATATGACACCTTAAGATTGGGGGCCATGTCCCCATCACCCAGGGCACTATTTGCAAGTTTCTCTCTGCCCCTTGTTCCCAAGGGGCAACAAGAGACACCCAACACATTGAGGGCCTTTTGCTTTCCGAGGCCAGGTCCAAATGGCTGTTTGCCCTCGCTCCAGGCCCTCCAGAGTAGGCAAGAGAATTTTTCTCTGTTTTCCCATGCAGAGCTTCCTTAGTCTTGTACCTGCAGCTGAATAGGGCTGCCTCCCCAGCTACTCTCATTTAGAGTCCGGAGGACAGTCCTTAAGCATTTCATCCAGCCTCTCAGCATGGGGATGGCAGCCGTGCTGTGCAGGGTCAGTCTGACCCAGGAAGGGGCCTGATTATATCCACCTTCCACCAGGTCAGCAGCACCCATCCCTGCACCACCTTCCCAGTAGTTCCCACAGGCTTCCGGGGCTGCTCTGGCGAGCAGACAACACAGGTCTCGCAAGCTTCTTGTACCTTTGCTAAGGTGACAGGCAACCCCCAAGTCTTGATAGTGGACCACATAGTATTTTGTCCAGCATGTAAGAGGCGATGGTCTAGCCATTGAGCTACTTCCCTTCCTGAAGGACTGGCAGTTACCGTTTCTGGCCACCATATCTTGGCTAGAGTGTCAGCCTCATCATTCCCAGGGGCATGCAAGGGCCATGCTGAGGGCCACGCATGGGGACAGGTGACATGCAGTGTGACACGCAGCTTGCAACATTCATGGATCACCCACCATTGAATAAAGGCATGTCAGACATCCCAATGGCTCCATAAATATTCTTCCATCTGCCTAAATCTCATGAACCTGTCAGGCTTTGAAAGGTTGCAACTCACCTATATTAGTTGTTCTTGTACAGTAAGGAAGAGCTTTCTACACCACCCCACTTCATTTACCTAATCAATTATTTATATCCCTGTGGACTCGTGGATTCTTAATTTTATTAAAAGGATTATAATTCATTATTATTTATTTATTTTGATGCTCTAATTATTCCCATTTTGATGTGTTGTAGTCCCTTAAATCTGGCTCTATGTCCTTTTAACATGACCCCATCATTCTTTGAGCACTTCCTTACTTTGCAGTACAATAAGACATTCCAGACTTGCCCTGTTCTTTCTGTGCCCCACACCTGGTACTGGCCATGTCTCTGAGGGACTCTGATCCCATTATTAGAGAATGGTATTGGGAAACTAAGATTTTGACTTATATATGTGCAATGTAAGTGTATGTAACATAGCTAACTTTTTAAAATGTTATGAATTCTTCATGTTTTACTTCTAAACTGACTTTGTAAATTTTCTAAAGTCTTCTCCCTCAATTTTTTTTCCTGTCTAATTTTGGGTAGTTTTCCTGATCAGTATTACCTAGTAAGGAGTAGGTGAGTTCCATAGACTTGGTGGTGAGTATAAAAGACTTCATAAGAACATACTTATTCCTTAGAGTAACTCTAGGCTTATTAGAGTGTATTTTTTACTGCTGTGTTCCTAATTGTTAGAGGAAGATTGAGACTTGGTACTAAGATATTGCCAACTACAGAGTGTCCGCTTTTGAAAGGGTATCACCAAAAGCATGTTCAGGTTTTGAAATAAATAAAATTCTTACACTTTTTTATTTTAAAATCTATGATGTCCTTGGTACAGGGAAAAATAGGTTCCTGTTGAGCTCCTCAAGCATTAAATGTAATCTTCAAGCTGTTACAGTGGCAGGGGAAGATGTGTTCTTCCCAGGGTTACTGTGTTCTTTTCTTCCCAGGTATGGTAGAAGGCCTACCCATTAGAGCAATGATACAGATCACAGCTAGAGGCTCAGCTCTGCCTACTCACATCTTTCACCTGTGTAATAATTTAACCACTATTTGTTTTGACTGGACATGTGAGAAACCTGTTTCACTAACAAAATACAGTGAATTTTGGGGTACAGATGTTTTTGAATTGTGGAATCTGTGCTCAAGCCTATCCATCTGATTGTGGTACTGTGGAGCTCTGAAAAGTTGGTGGACCATATATTTATCTTTTTTTAATCGTCACCCAGAGATACATTTATTGATGTTAGAAAGAGAAGAAAGAAGAGAGAGAGAGAGAGAAAGAGAAACATCTATGTGAGAGAAACATCAATCTGTTGCCTCCCACACGTGCCCTAACCGG